TTGTCTCTAGAGATGGTAAGACTTTGTAGAAATCATTATTAAGGCCCTTTTATTGCTTTTCATATGCATAGTTTGTGGTTATCCATTTAAAAAATAATAGGAGAATTAGACTTCTTTTTAGCCGACGATATCTTCCTATTGTTATAGCCTTTTTCTCGATCGTGAAATCATTTGCCTAACGACTATTTCATTATTGGTTTGATCTCGTTTTCGCGACTTCGTCGGGGCGACAGGGAGACTTTGTGGAACATATTTATTCACACCATTTTTTATTCTCTTCTCCTCCAATATCGTCTAAGAGTGCGCCGCTTCAAGTATATTTTGTGAAGCATAACCATCTTCATTGGTTTCAGATGTCATTTGCAGCGCTTCTGGATCATGATTTTCGACTATTATTTTGCCCCTCTCCACCCACTTGTCATTTGCTCCCTGCTACATATGAAAATTATTGTTTAGCTGTCTATAAGGACTCGATTCCGGTCCACATTTACGTCGTATTTAAGAATTTAAAGACCGGTGATTCTAACGCTTAGGCATCTCATACACTTTATGCTTCATACCCATGAGCCAGTTATTATCTTTTTCCTACCCACCCATTCTCTAAGGCTCTGTCAGGCCTGAGTTTGAACCACTGGTGTAAAAATGGACCTCTTCCCTTCTCCACTCATAAATCGCGTAAAGCACACACTCTTGTCTATCAAGTTTACAGTCCCACCTAATCCTAAGGTTAGGGTGTGAATATTAGACATGTCAACAATCACCTCTTATTAAAGGCATACATACACTATTGGTGAACGTTGATTTACAGTTCATGTACGCCAACATCTCAGGAGAAAAGCGCATACGACATCCTAGAGTCGGCGAGAATCTGCAAAAAGTATATTTCCTAATTAACTGCCTATTTCATGTTCAATGGCTCCATGTGAAAGAATATATTGTCTATATATGGACTCTCCACTTTCACTTTTGTTGGATGATGTTTACATGAGCAGGTTAGATAGGAACTTCAATGCTTTACCTCAACAGTCAACATTATTAAGCCATATTTGATGACTACTTCTCACTCGTTATCTTCTTCAACGGCATGGTTTAAAAGGTCCAATTTACAATGGATATAGGAAACAACGGATGCGGAGGCTATTCTCTCTGAGGAGACTCTCAAGAAACAGCTGCTCTGAAAGATATTACATGCAGGAATAAACCTAAATTCCCAATCTTACCACACTTATGGAAGGACGATTGGTATACTAAGATCCTGAGTTCTGGGAAGATTAACAGGAAAAACTGATTCGTATATTTCTTGAAAACGGATATCCAGAAGAAGTAATACAATCCAACTTACGGATCGTGATGAGCAGATGGCAGGCTGGGGATTATGAACGGAAAGCAAGGGAAGCAGAGGAAAAACTATTGATTTGCCTTGCTGCGCCCACTAATAATAAAATGGAATATTTATACATTTATGAAGGAACTGACAATTCTCTTGACTAGCTTGCCCACCCAACATGAGAATGTCACCAGGATGGACTACTTCGGAGCTTATTACATAAATTGCAAGGATTGTAAACAAAAGTACATCGGGGAGACTGGAATGGCAATCCTCATAAGGATCAAGCAACATCATCGTATCTACATAACAATGGATACGGAAAGATCGCATAGTGCTAAAACATTGCCCTGACAGACCACACAATTTACTTAAGTGCAACGGAAAATCTGGCCTCATATTAGGAGAACAGAAAACGGAATATCAGGCAGGCCATTGAAATCCTATTTCTAAGAAACCTAATGAACAAGAGATTGGAAGAGAGTAGTGTATGCGGGAATTTCGCGTACTGCCTGGACAGACTTGGAGATTCAGTGAGGACAGATAAAAGGAAACGCTTGCACTAAATGCAACAACAGGAAGGGACATGGCCAAGAAGAGGATCATGAAGGACAAAGGGAAGTCAAGAAAAGTCGATTACAATGAGAGCAGTCAAACTTAGAATAAGCCTGAAGTAACCGGTGTGGGTCAATTTGTTGGTTAGGAAATAAACAGGTCAGAAACATGCAAATTGTGTACCATTAGAGGTAATTGGCTAAAGATCTATGTCAATTTAATGGGATTGCTTTCACTTGTCATTTTAATAAGTTGCAACTGTGCTAAGGATGACGCTTATGACAATGCGGCTGAAACGTCTGGGAATGTATCAAGTCAACGTTCCAATGCTTGAAATCATGACCACTTTGGCAGCGAATACAGTAATGGATAAGTTTTACAAGGTCTCCCTGTCGCTCCGATCAAATTGCGGAAACGAGTTGATATCAACATTATACGGCTAAAGGAGGCAGCGAACTAGCAAAGGCAACATGCTCTTGGTCTTCATATCTACGATTTTTAGGTTCGTCTAGTACCTCATTCATTTAACCTACTGCCAACACGCCTTTTTTAAAAATCAAGCAACTGTATCTGATTTCTTTAATGAGCTTTGTACCCGAACTGAGAAGAAATTCCATTTTTGATGTGTGACTGCTTTGCATAAATTTTAGAGCTACTTTTCCAGATTTATATGCTTCTTACAGTGCTTAATATGGTGCATGTTTTCTTCCCGGAGTTTACCACTGGTATAGATTTATACTTTTTTCCCCAAGTTCAGAATGGAAGCCTATTCAGTCCTCTAAGGTTTGGGCAGAACCTCGAATTTTCTTGTCAATTTTACATCACAGCTCTACACTGAGTTTCTCCTACGCTCCCGAGTCTCCATATTACTTCGACAAACACTATCCTGTCCTTCAGAGACTATATTATTCTGCTCAGTTTTATTATACAAATCTTCGTTTCTGCTGGGATTAGGATGCAGGCAACTTTGCCCTT